CCCACCAGGGATTGAACCTGGGTCCTCAGCAGCAAAAGCACAGAGTCCTAACCACAGGACCACCAGGGAATTCTCTAAGGTCAACTGATTTTTGACAAGGGTATCAAGACAGTTCAACAGGGGAAGAACAGTCTTCAACAAATAGTGCTGGCACAACTGAATACTCACATGCAGAATGAAGTTGGATCCCTACCTCACACCATATAGAAAAATTAACTCAAAACAGATCAAAGACCTAAATGTAACAGGTAAAACTCTTAAAAAGAAAACATAAGAATAAATATTTATTACTTGGATTAGGCAATGGCTTCTTAGCTATGAAATCAAAAGCACAAGCAACCAAAGAAAGAGATAAACTGGACTTCATCAAAATAAAAAAATTTGTGCTGCAGAGAGCATAATCAAGAAAGTAAAAAGAACAACCCAAATAATGGTAGAAAATTTTTACAAATCATGTATCTGACAAGAGACTTGTATCTAGAATATATAAAGGACTCTTACAACTCAATAATAGAAAGACAAATACTCTGTTTAAAAAAATGGGCAAAGGATGTGAATATACATTTCTTCAAAGAACACAGAGTGCAAATGGCCAATAAGCACATGAAAAAAACATTCGACATCATTAGCCATTAGGGAAAAGCAAATCAAACCATAATGAGATCCTCTGTCACATTACTTGGGTGACTCTAATCAAAAGGACATATGGAGTGAGAGTTTGGGGTTAGTAGATGCAAACTATTATATATAGAATGGACAAATAACAAGTCCTATTGTATAGCACAGGGAACTATATTCAATATCCTGTGACAAACCATGATGGAAAAGACTATAAAAAATAATGTATATATATATGTATAACTGAATCACTTTGCTGTACTGCAGAAATTAACAAAACACTGTAAATCGACTATACCTCAATTAAAAGAAAAGGACAGATAATAATAAATGTTGGCAAGGATGTGGAGAAATTGGAACCCTCACGCACTGCTGATGTGAACGTAAAACAGTGCAGCTGCTTTGGAAAAACAATATGACAGGTCCTCAAAACATTATACATAGAGTTACCATATAACCTAGCAATACTACTCCTAGCAATATACTCAAGGAAATGAAAATATATGCCCATACAAAAACTTGTATATGAATTCCATAGCAGCATTATTCTAATATCCAAAAAGTAGAAACAACCTAAATGGCCATGAACAGATGAATGGATAAACCAGATGAAATATATCCATACAATGGAATATTATCCAGCCATAAAAAGGAATGAAATTTTAATATATGCTACAACACGGGTGAACATTGAAAACATTATGTAAGTGAAAGAAGCCACATACTGTGTGAGTCCATTTAAATGAAATATCCAGAATAGGCAAATCCATAAAGACAAAGAGTAGATTAGTGGTTATCTAGGTCTAGAAGTGGGGCGTGAGGGGAAAAGTAAAATGACTCCTAATGGGCATGGTTTTCTGAGGAGGAGGGTGATGAAGTGTTCTGAAATTGATTGTGGTGATCGTTGCACAATTCTGAATACCCTAAAAACCACTGAATTGTATACTTTAAATAGGTGAATTGTATGGTGTGTGAATTAGATCTCAAGCAAGCTGTTTATTTTTTAAAACTTCAATGGATCTGGGACTTCCCTGGTGGTGAGTGGTTAAGAATCTGCTTGCCAATGCAGGGGACACGGGTTCGATCCCCAGTCTGGGAAGATCCCACATGCTGCTGAGCAACTAAGCCTGTGTGCCGCAACTACTAAGCCTGAGTGCCACAACTACTGAAGCCTGTGCACCTAGAGCCCGTGCTCCACAACAAGAGAAGCCACCGCGATAAGAAGCCCACGCACCATGACGAAGAATAGCCCCCGCACACCACAACTAGAGAAAGCCCTTGCACAGCCAAGAAGACCCAACGCAGCCATAAATAAATAAATAAAAATTAGAAAAAAAAAAAACCCACAAAACTTCAATGGATCTGACAGTCAGGAGGACTCTGGTGACACCCAGCCAAAGCCATTTCAGTGCCATGTCGGGGTGCTGGAAAGTGACAGGCTGGGGAGTAACGTGAGCGAGGAAGAAAGGAAAATACTTGCAGAAGACTCGGGAGGCTCATCTGTCGACGAGCAGGAGTGAGGCCTGATGCAGGGGAGGGTTTAGGGGTTTGCAGGCCCCCATGAGACACATTATATTCCTAAGCCTGAGATCCAGTTCCTCAGAGAAGATGGTGATGATGACTCTGTGGGCCTCTCCAGCCTCTATCCTGATGCTGGCTGGACTGGCCAGGCCAGGCCAGTCCTCTCTTCTCTATACCACTAAAACTTAGCAACCTGGAAAGGCTTACCACACACCCTGCCTCATCTTGGAGCCCTTCCCTGGAGGTGCTAGCTCCCACTGACCTCTTGCTTCTCAGCATGCTCTCACACTACACACAGGATGTCCTCACCATACTATATCTTACAGTTTACTGAAGCAGCCTCCAAGTATGGGGAGGATGCAGGAACACACACACTGCTTCCCTAGCCTGTGAGGACAAGGGGGCCCAGGCATGGTTCCAGCTTATATATCCCTGACTCTTAACTCACACCTGCTCAAGCAGGGCTTCTGTAGCCCCCTGCTTGGTGCCCCAAGGATTTCTGGGAGCTCCAGGGAATGCTCTGGAATAGTCCAGGAAGGTCCCATGCAGGGTCTGCTGTCTCTTCCCTATGCTGTTCTTCTGGTCACTCTGTCTCCCAGTGAGGATGCAGCTCTTGTTGGTGTTGGTTATGCTTTGTCAGAGGGGTCCCTGAGCAGCATAGCTTGGATGTCACTACTTCACTAAAGCAGTGAGAAAGCCCAGTTTTTAAGGACTACCTTTGCTCTTGTGCTTTCTATGGAGTCAGACATTTGGCCATATGAAGCTTAGCTCAGGGTATGTCCTAGTGGAGGAACTACATGGAGTGCAGCCTCAATCAGCCTTAATGCTACAGCTTATAACCTCGAAGTCAGTATGTTCTCTACATAGGCCATGGGATTCCCTAACGATGACCAGGTATCCCTGATTCACTGATGCTAACCTGGGGACCTGATTTGAGGAACAGGATATTGCTTGTAACCCAGAATCGTGAATCTGCTAAACTCATTCATAAAGATTTCTCTTATGACCATCGCCCCTTGCCTGGGCTTCTACAGGTTGACCTCCCTTTGAGGAGGTGGTCATTGAATCTGGGTTTCTAGGAAAACCATGTTTTCCTTGGTGACTACATGTGCCATCCATTCCACCTGGACCAGAGCCAGCGAGTAAGATACACTTGGACCCTAATGTTTTCAGAAGAGCACCAAGTCCCATGGGGCTGGGCTTAAGGTGGGAGAGGGCCTTCTGCATACCCTGTCCCCCTCTTGAAGAACAAAGATGCTTATTAATTAGCATATGAAAGAAAGGCTCTGATAAAGCCTACAGTAAATGGTATTTAAGTCTTCTGAATGCAGTGCTTCCCAAACATATTTTTCCATGGGACCCTTTTTTTGTCCACCCCACCCACTATCATCCAAGGGCACATCACCCTAACCGTAAAGTCCAGAACTTATGACTGGCATTTGGGGCCCACCCTACAGATTTCGCTGGTCAACCTCTCTCCTCTCCTGCCACCAGTCCTCTCCACATCTTGCATGTTCTCCTCCAAGGCATAGCTCACAGCTGTCTCCACCTGCTGGAGCCACCTGTTCCCTTAAACACCCAAAGACCCCTTTTCCCACCTCATACCCACTGTTGGCTACTGCTTCCAACCTTGAGTATCCTTGAGTACCCCTGGATGCCTGTCCTCTCTCCCTCCTCCTTTCCAGGTCATTCCTTGCTGCGTCCTGAGTTGCCCTTGTGAGGTTATGGGCATGGGATACCACACCTGACAACAAACCAAGGGGGCAGGACTGGGTCTTGAAGAGTTCTCAGAACCTGAGCCCCCTCACTCAACTTCCTACCCCACAGGGACTCTGCCTCAGGCAGCAGAAGAGCAGAGGGCGGGATCGGAGGTAAGATGGGGGTGGGGTGACAACCCAGTACCAGCTTCTCCCCTGGGCAGGGACCAGATGCTGTCCCCATGCCTGAATTTGACACTTGGTGAATGAACGATCAATGATGGCTCTTAGAGGGAAACCCCTACCCCCATTTCGGACACATTTCCCACGTGGGAACTGGCCAACTTCCCCAAACTCAAGACACATCCTGGCTGGAGCTGGCTATGGGCCGGGCACCTCCGGGGTTAGCGGGTCAGGGCGGGGTGTCCTGGAGAGCCGCGGATGGGCCTCACACCCAGCCTGGGCCAGGACACCCAGTCCTTGGCGGAGGCCCAAACCAGCTCTGTTTACAGAATCTGTCAGCTCTGTTTCCCCCTCCCCCTCCCACCACTTCCCCTAGAGTCCAGGGGGCTGGGAGATGGCAGGCGGGGCCTGAGGGAGCCTAGGAGGCAGCCAAGTCCCAGGCCGGCCTCTCAGTACTCCTCCCCTTCTTGGCTCCTAGGGTCTATCCGCCCCGTTCTCCAGTCTTCTGGTTTCCCCTTTAAAGCATTGAGTGGGAATGCGCATTTTAAAAGAGAAATCTGTAGAAGACAATGCTTATTCCCAAGGCAAGTTTAGCTAATGGTGGAAAGAAAGGAACAGTGCCTGTAGGCACAGGGAGACTCTTCTAGGCAAGGGGCTTCCTGGATGCCTCCAGACAGCCTGGAAGGAGGTTCCCTCCTTCCTCAGGACCCCAAACCTATGGGACCCTGGGAGTTTTTCCAGAACTGCCGGAGGGACTTGGTGCAAATTAGCTGTAGCCGGGCGGGTAGGCCGGGGGCTTTCGAGGGGCAGACACGTCTTGAGATAAGGCCAACGGCCGGCCGGGCCGCAGTGACTCAGCTGCGGCGGCTGCAAGGAAGCTCTGCGGGCCCCGAGGAACGGGACATAGGAGGCGGGGCCCAACCCGGGACGCCCCGCCCAGCCCCAGGGCTCCGGGAAGTTCCGGCCCACCACCCCCAGCTTCCCAGAGGCGCCCGGATTTCCCACGGGTTTCCCCATCTGCTGCAAATAGTAACAAAGGCTGGCACTTTCAGAGCGCTCACTGAGTGTTAGGCACTTTGCTGGCATCGTGTCTTGTTACCTCCATCAGGGATCTGAAGCAGGCGCCACTATTACCTCCATTAAGAGACATGGAATCTGAGGTTAAGAGATGCCCAGCGACTTGCTCAAGGTCACACAGCTACTGAATGGTAAGGGCTACAGTTTCCAAACCCCCAGACACCTCTTGCCCCTTCCCAGCTCCCATGTCTCCTATGTCTTGCCCCTCCAGGTGCTAGCAGGTCCCCTGGGGGGTGCCTCCCTAGGCAAAACCAGAAACCTGGACATCCCCTGGCCTGGGGCTAACTCAGTTCAAATATTTATCATTTTGAGGCAATTGCAGTGGTCTTGATTACGTGTCTGCTGAACTCCCAGCCTGGTTTCAGGTGGCGGCAAAGTTTCCCAGCCCTAAGTTTCCCTTTGACCTCCACTTTGAGGGGAAACTCCTAGGAACAGGGCTATCCCCGGGGAACACTGCCGTGACAGCACCCAGCTCTGTCCTCTGGAGAGACGCAGTCTCCAGAAAGCCCCTGCCTTGCTCACAGATTAGCTCCCCAAACCTGGGACCTTGCCAAGTGAGAAGCTGCTGGCTGACCCCTGCCTGTGTGGGGTCAGGGCCAGGACTGTGCCACAGAAAGCCAAGTCTGAGCCCCAGAAGGGGTGGAGGAACAAAGAGCACCCTGGGGCTGCCCTGGAAGGTAGTGAGCTCCCCGTTATCTAGGGTGGGGGAGCACCTGTGGAAGAAATGATTCAAAAGGAGGGTGGGATGAGATGACCTTTAAAACCCCGAATTTCTCTATTCTATGAGTCAGGCAGTGTCCAAGTGAATGGCTTGTTCTGACAGCTGCTTAAATGGAAACTTTCCCAGACTCTCCCACTTCCTTCCCCTTTGACCTCTTTCTGCTGCGCTCCATGATCTTCCTTCTGGAGACTCGGAGAATATTGGAAAGAAGATGACACCCATGCATCCCTGCCTCAGTTTGCCACTCTGTCCCAGTGGCCATTGTGTGGGCTCTGGGAGGCTCTGATTCATGGGAGAAAGGAAGGAGGAAAGGAAGGAAGGAAGGATGGAAAGAAGGATGTATTTTAAGATGAATGACTGCCTCTGGTTGAGCTGGTTTGACCTGGGCCCTAGTCCCAGCTCCAACCTCTTCTCCCAGATATGTGACCTTGAACAGTGTCACTTTACCTCCCAGGTCCTCTGCAAAATGAGTGTATTTTAACATCAACTAACCTTCCTGTGAGGGTAGTTGGTAGCAACAATGAGTGACCACCGTGGGTAAAGTCTTCCCAAGCACAATTGTGTGATGGCACTCAGCGGGCAGCCCAGCTCTACAGGCAAACGTCATTCTTCGTGATTCTGTTTGAGGAGGTAAGTCCGCAAGGACAGGCAAGTTTTGGTGGGAGAGAAGGGAGAGAGAAGGGGGCCTGAGCAGGGGCTGCAGGGGATGGGTATCCTCTAGTGGGAAGAGCTGTCCTAAAGATACTACTGTGTATCACCTCTGTGTGCCATGCATGGTGCTAGGGGCTTCACACACATTGTCACATTTAGTTCTATCTATACGGTAGGTACTAGTATTATCTCATTTTACAGATAGCAGTATCAAGGCTTAGAGAGGTTAAGACACTTGCCAGTAGAGAAGCCAGAATTCACAGCCAGGCTGGCTGACTTTGGAGCCCTGTCCTACCCAAGTCCTGACTTGGGTCCCTTGCCCCTTCCCCACAGTTGTCTTGGAGGCTGGTACCCAGTGGCCTGTCTGATTGTGCCTAGTCCTCCAAGATCCCTCCCCTTGCCTGGCACCCTCCTCTGCCAGCTGTCCTGTCCAGTCAGAGTGGCTTTGGCCAATGATGCCAGAGACAGTCTGGCATCATGGCTGTGTTGGACCTTGTACAAAGAGACAAGCGTTGATAGGGGCTAGGATCAAAGCCCCAAATTACAGGAGATAAATAAGATGTGAGGGATGGGTCCTGGCTGGTGCTGAATCTTGCATAGCAAAGGAAGAAAGGAAGACTGGGAGGCAGGCAGCCACCTCCGCCTACCCTGCACCCAGAACTAAGAAGTGACCTTGGGCACCTGAAACCAGCTCTGGTTCCATAAGGGTTGAGGAAGGTTTTAGACAGTTATTTAGGAAAGCTGTAAGACTTGAGGCTGCCCTAACTATAAGATGATATTGGAGGACCCCAAGATCTTCCCCAAACACTCCCGCACACATATACACACACTCTCCTGTCAGAGTCAAGTCTGGCCTGGGGCATCCCCCGGTCAAAGCGCTGCACTGCAGTCCTCCTGGCCATCCTGGAAAATCTCTGTCCAGTGGCACAGAGCCCCCAAAGGGGGCCCCCTTCCCCTTTAGTAGAAGAGTCCCCTCCTTGCCCTCTCACCTCCACTCCCAGTCAACTCTTCATCTTTTCTTGGAAACAAATCGCTCCCAACTTCAAAGCATCATAATTCCCCCCAAAGAGCAACCTCAAGAATGTCAAGAGGAAATTATTGAATTATCCTGGTTGGCAGAAAAATCTAATTTATAGCAAAGCATTTCTCCTGAAATTTTAATAGATTTTTTTTTTCTTCCAATGGATTTGCTCATTTGTTTCCCGGGCTTGGAAATTTAGTTTGAAGCACTGACATAGCTTTTCAGTTCTTGATTTATTGCCAGCTCCCTGCTTTTGAGCCTGATAGTAAACCCAACATCCTATTTTCTCTTAAATGTGAGAGGACTGCTCTCTCTGTTCAGCCTGTTGGACCAGACATCTTATGGCACTGCCACTTCATTAAGGGTGTGAGGGGGTCTGGAGACCTGGCTGAACCTTCCCTGCCCTCCTTGACTGGCTCTCAGGGGCAAGTCCCCACCTTGAGGATTTTGCTAGCATGGAACCTCAATGCCATGTGTATGAGGATACCACTGGTCTCTGGGGACCAGTCGGGGCAATGAAATGGCTAACCTTCCTCTCTGCCCACTCCCTGCCTCCTAGCCTATCAAGGTGCCTGGCGCAAAATAAGGACTCAGCCAACAGGTGTCAGTTGAAATAGAGGGTGGCATGGCTGAGTGTCAGAGTCCTGCTTGGGCCAATGACAGCTTAGGCTCCCATTAGCAAAGGAACGTTGTGGTGACATCTTTGCCCAGGCTGCAGTCCATTAGATTGGAATCATCTGGGCATGGCACAGGGTGCTGGCAAGTGTGCTGCCTAGAGGTCTCAATTTATGGGGGCATGGCCAGCACTGGGGAAAGGGGCTAGAAGGCCCAACGGCATCAGAAAAATGCATCCTCCCCAAAAGATGAGAAACTCACTGTGCCCCCAACCACCTTTCAAGAGTATCTGACTAGAGCAATGCTTAACCAGAACTCGCTAATAAGGAGAGCGGGCTTTTGGAATGAATGACTGGCAGAGAAGGGAGATATTTAGGAACAAAGCCAACTTCTTTTGAGCCCTTGGAATGATAATATCGATTTTACAGATGCAGAAACTGAGGCTCTCAGAGAGGGGCAGAAGCTCACGAAGCTCTGGCAAGTAGCCAAAGTGACACTGAAGCCCAGATGTTTGACTCCCTGAGGATTCATCTAACAGCGTGGGAGGCTGTACCAGGGTTAGTAGCCTGACACTACAGGACCTAGCAAAGATCAGGATCCTTTGGGAGGGCGGGGGTTCCTCAGGCCCCTATGGAGGCTGCCCCCCATCCAGTTTTAGAGCAAGCTGACAGGCCCATGAGGACTCCATCCTAGGTCATGGTTGTTCTCTGGAGGTTACTTCTGGCAGTCCTCCTATCCCTGACCCCATCTTTCCAAATATCCAGAGACCCTAGAGACTTCAGCCTCTTTCCTCCCAGAGATTGCTGTGGCGGCAAGTGGGAGAATCACCTGGCCAGAGAAGGGTGGTGAACAAGGGGCAAGAAGAAGAGGGTCTGCACCTTTCTACTCACTCCTCTCGGTAATGTGCCCTTCTCCATCTCTCCCTGACTGCCTGACCTTCTATCCTCAGGGAATTTGGGTTTCCCTTCCCAGGGCATTGCCAGGAACAGAGAGACAAATGGCATGGCCCCTGAAAAGCTCTGAGGGGCTCCCTAGGCATGGAGGGCACACCCTGGCCAGGGTCTGGACATGGAAGTAGGGGGAGCACTAATGCCCCCAGGAGAGCCACAGGACACAATCTCATGGGCAGAAGGGGCCTGGCATGTGGGTTACCTTGTTTACCACACAGAGTAGGATGGCAAGCAGGGATGGGCACTTCTGTCCCATGCCCAGAACCTGAGGCAGAAGGGTGGCGGGAAGGGAGGGGGCAGTCCCGACTTCGCTAGCTCACCTACTGGCTCACCCTTGAGAGACCAGGGCTCTTGGCAGTGGCTGAGAATGGAGATGAAGGTGACAGTAGGATTTAGGGCAGCCCTTGGAGCCCTAGGGCAGCCCTTGGAGCTGCTGGGAGAGCACACTGGCTGAGGCTCCCCTGATGGCCCACCCCTCTAGCCATCAGCCCCTCTCTTGGCACCTCTCACGGGTCCTGGGCCAGCCTCACTGCACAACACTTCTGCACCCGGCCAGGCCCAGCCCCTGCCTGAAGTGGACCCTGGACACTTAGTGAGGCCCCTCCTACCCCGTCCAGCCCTCTGGAGCAAATCTAGGAGCCCAGCCAGGAGTGGGTGGTTTGAGGGAGCTCACAGGATTGTGGGGAGGAAGATTGGGGGCAGGCGTCTCTGTGTGGCTTCAGGGCAGAACCAGGCCTGGGGCTGAGCATCCTGGAGACCCTGCTCCCATGGGGAGGCGTCCTCATCACTCAAGCTGCGAAAGCACAGAACAGGAGGCATCATGAGGAAAGAGCACCCTGCCAAAGGGCTCCTCTCCTAGAGGCCTGCCTCTCAAGGCTACACCACACAAGCTTCTGCTCAGGAGAGGGGGAGCTACCACCCGGGTGAATCTACTCTGTTCCTCCAGATTTAATGACTCCCAAAATGTCGTCTCTGCTGGGACAACTCCCTGGCTCTCTCCCAGCCAGGTGGAGCCCCGGTCACCTCTTCCCTCCCCAGTGCCCATCCCTTTACCCTTTGGCAGGCCTTAACACCAGACATGGCTGTGAGCCAGGCCCAGGAGAGCTAAGCGGTGGGTGGGTGGACGGGAGAAGGAAACCTGAGTAGGCTGGTCATCTGATCCCAGCTCCTGGGAATGGGAAGCTCATGAGAGGCCAATACTGGGACCCTTCCCTGAGGGTGTCAGGGAGCAGGCTTCCAGGATGGGGGCCGCTGCGGCACTGATAGACACTTTCCAGAAGGGCACAATAGGGATCGGGGATGAGGAAGCCACTGATGGGACCCCAAACACATGGCAAGTCAGTCTTGGGTAGGTCTGGGGGCTTTGAGGGTCCCAACTGGTCAGCTGGGGGGCAGATCCAAGGGGGTTTCTGCCTATGGCTCCCTGGTCGCAGTTGTAGTTTGGTAAGATGAGGTGTAGGGCAGCCCAGCTCTGGAAGGAGCTGTGCCCGGTCAGGGCCTTGGCCCCAACCTTGAAAGCCCCCTGTGCCACAGCCCCTGCTGACCAGCTATTCCGATCAGACTGTGGGGCAGGGCCCTTTTCCGGCGGTTCTGAAGCTTTGAACTCTGATGAGTAATTTCTTGGAGTTTGTCTGGCATCAAGATCAGAGGTTTTGCCCTCCACCTTCTACCTCTGAAGGAATCATGAAGAAGAGCCCTTCTTGAGGGCCCTGGGGGATGCTTCTGATCTGAGAGAGGGCTCCAGAGGCAGGATGAGGGGCATGTACGGACCTGAAGTGCTTGGGGCAGGAGGCTCCTGTACCGGGTACTCCAGCCCACGCACCTTGGCATGGGCTCCCTGGGTCTGAGTCTGACAGGCACCACAGGTTGATATGCTTAATAGCGGTCATGCAAAAGGCACACCTGCCACCCAAGCCCTTGGCCGCTAGCCCATGCCTCAGTCCCACAACCTCTCAGCACCGAGCAGACTCACCAAGGGCAACCTGGAATGGCTGGAGCTCCAGTTGCAGCTGGAAGGTCAGGGTTAGACTCGAAGAACTTTCTGAATATAAGAGCTGTGATGTGTAACCAGCAAAGGTGAACTGACCACTCATTTCTCAGCAACCAGGTGCCAGACTTGTCCCTTCAACCTGTCCCACCACTGGTTAGAGCTCAGTAAATGGTATTACCATCCACCTATCCACCCAAGACCCCTGGGCAGCAAGCCCCTCAGCCCCATGTCCAATCTAGCCACAGGCCTTGGCATCTCTTCCTCCCAACACCTCAAGAATCTGTCCATAGCCCTCCACCTCCACTACCACCACCCAGGCCAAGCCACCACCACCTCTCCTCTGGATGCCTGCAGCAGCCTCTCACTGTCTGCCTGCTCCTACCCATGCCCCCTGCTGTCCATTCTTCACCCAACAGCCAGGGTGAGCATCTCAAAATGTAAGTCAAATGGATCTCTTTCCTACTGCAAACCCTCCAGGGCGCTATGATCCCCTTGGGTAAATGTCCTGCCCAATCTGACTCCAGCCCCATCTCCTGCTACGTTGACCACAGAACTCAGCTACAGTGGCCTCATTCTGTGTGCCCCTAGCTTGACTATGACCCTCCCATCTCTCTGGCCTCTTAACTCCTCTTTTAAGACTAGGAAGACTTTTCAATCTGCCAACCCCCTCCAAGGCTCTGAGAATCCCTGCTGAACCTGAATCTATCCCCCCAACACCTGTCACCTCTTGCTGTCATATTTCTTTATTCTTGAGTCTACCTACTTGAGAATGACAGTCACAATCTAGACAACACACATAGAACAAGACATGTGATATGACCACAATTTAGAGAGGCAGAAATAAAGGGAGGTTGGTGGTAGAGGTGGGGAACAGACAGCCCCCTTCCTTTGCCCCCATCCCTCCCACTATCTGCTAGGGTCATGAGTAAGCTCTCAGAAGAGGACACTTACAGATTCAGGTGCCTACTCCCATTCAACTTTTTCTTTTTTTATTGTGGTAAAATATACATAACATAAAATTTACCACTTTAACTATTTTTAAGTGTATAGTTTAGTGGCATTAAGTAAATCCACATTGTTGTACAGCAATCATCACCATCCATCTCCAGGACTTTTTCATCATCCCCAAATGAAACTCCGTACCCATTAAACAACAATTCCCCATACCTTTCTCCCCCTAGCCCACAACCACCATTCTACTTTCTGTCTCTATGAACTCTACTCTACATACCTCATACAAGTGGAATCGTACAGTTTTTGTCTTTTTGTGTCTGGTTTATTTCACCTAGCATAATGTCTTCAAAGTTCATGTATAGTGTAGTATATATGAGAATTTCCTTCCTTTTTAAGGCTGAATAATATTCCATTTTATGTATACACCTCATTTTGTTTGTCCATTCATCCACTGATGTACATTTGAGTTATTACCACTTTTTGCCTATTGTGAATTATGCTGCTATGAACACAGGTGTACAAACATCTGTTCAAGTCCTTACTTTCAGTTCTTTTAGGTATATACCCAGAACTAAAATCACTGGATCATATGGTAATTCTTTTTAATTTTTTGAAGAACTGCCATATCATTTCCCACAGCAGCTGCATCATTTTACATTCTCACTGGCAATGCACAAGTGTTCCAATTTCTCCACATCCTTACCAACACATGTTATTTTCTGTTCAGTTTAGTTTTTTAATAGTAGTCATCCAAATGGGTGTCAATTAGTATCTCATAGTGATTTTAATTTTGAATTTCCTAATAATTAGTGATGTTGAACACCTTTTCATGTGTTTACTGGCCATCTGCCTATCTTCTTTGGAGAAGTGTCTGTTCAAGTCCTTTGTCCAATGTTAAATTTGGTTGTTTGTTTTTTGCTGTTGAGTTGTGGGAGTTCTTTATATATTCTGGATTTTAACCCCTTATATGATTTGCAAATATTTCTCCCATTCCATGGGTTTCCTTTTCACTCTATTGGTATTGTCCTTCGATGCACAAAAGTTTTTAACTTTGATGAAGCCCAATTTATCTATTTTTCCTTTTGTCGCCTGTGCTTTTGGTGTCATTTGCAAGAAATCATTGCCAAATCCAAAGACATGACATGGAGATTTTCCCTTATGTACTCTTTTAAGAGTTTTATAGTTTAGCTCTTATGTTTAGGTCTTTGATCCATTTTGAGTTAATATTTGTATATGGTGTAAAGTAAAGATCCAACTTCATTCTTTTGCGTGTAGATATCCAGTTTTCCCAATACTGTTTGTTGAAAAGACTGTTCTTTCCTCGTTAAATTGTCTTGGCACCCTTGTCAAAAACCATTTGACTATATATGTGAGGATTTATTTCTTGTATTTCTTGTATTATATTTCTATTATATTTCATTTGTCTATATGTCTATATGTCTGTCTCTATGCCAGTGCCACACTCTTTTGATTACTATAGCTTTGAAGTAAGTTTTGAAATCAGGTGATATGAGACCTCCAAGTTTGTTCTTTTTCAAGATCGTTTTGGCTATTCATGGTCCCTTGAGATTCCATATGAACTTTAAGATGGATTTTTCTATATCTGAAAAAAACATTGTTGGGATTTTGATAGTGATTGTATTGACTCTTGTGAGTTTGTTTA